CTCATTTTGAAATATGAGTGGCTTTACTCCCTAGAAAATAATTTATGCAACGTAACATACGCTGTTTTGCATTTTGTTGATGAGCGGTTTCGTACTTTAAACGACGATATACTTATTTATGTATGCGCCCTAATGCAATTTGTATGGGAGATTTTTTCGACCATGAGCGTATGGCACAGAAGGATTCTATGTAGGGTTGCCAACATTTTCTAAGAAATTTATAGTACTTTTTCAAAAAATCTGAAAAAATATAGTACACTTCAAATATATATAGTATTTCTTTTTAAGAAAAAGTAAAAATGCTTTTTAAGTGTAAATTATTTTTATTTCTTATGCATTTCCTCTATAAAAAATATATTTCTTTGAAAGTATCATATCGTCGTTGGTTTTGCAAAACCTCCATCGACCAGTTGCAAAACCGAATAAATCGCCGTTGTGGCAAAAATGAGATTTGGTAACCCTGAACTCCAGGCATCGAGATTTATGCATAAAAATCGTTATTAAAATAGCAAATTTGTAAAATAATAGCTAGACAAAATACCACCTATCAAGGCAATGCCTTCAAAGAATAAACCGTTTTTTCGCTCTCCTGTTAATAGCCCGATCACTTTAGACCAAAATCGACGTAAGATTAAAAAAAATTCCGGCAAGAAATTTTTTGACGCAGTTAGGTGTCTCCTGTTTAAGTGAGCACAAAATGAAAATTTTTCCCCCAATTTGTCCGCCATCTTGGATTTTATGTTTTTTACGATTTGCGCGCGAATTTTGCATTTCTCGCGAAAAAAGGTTAACAAATTTGTTGGNCAAAAAATGCCAAAATTAGGCAAGTGGCGCGGTTTTTTCGAATTTTTAGCAATTTCTATTTGAAATAAGTGGCACATTTAAATGGCAAAGTTGTAGAGGACAAATTTTCCAATAAACGCATTATTTATATGTTTACGTACGACATGTAGATCTCGACCAACAACGCGCTCAATGCAGCGGAAAGGGAGAAGCTACTCAAAACTTTTTTCCACACCACCTCAGAGGTAATGTTATTGGCGCGTTTTATTTTTATGTGGTTTCACCAGTAGTCCTAATCCACACATAGTTATTTTCGCCACAATAAAACTCTTTAGAATCGGAGAAAAGTCGTATTGATAAAGGGACAAAAACTATTTGCTAAATACAGTTTCAACTGACTGAAAATATTTATTCATGGGCTTGGCCTATTGGTGAACCCACAGTTGAAAATACGCGCCAAAAAACACGACCTCCGAGATACTGTGAAAAAAGTTTTGAGTAGCTTTCCCCTGCCTCGCGGGAAATGCAAAATTAGCGCGCAAATCGTAAAAAACACAAAATCCAAGATGGCGGACATTTCCCATATCGCAATTGGGGGAACAGTTTTATTTTCGTGTTCACCTAAACAGGAGACACTAAACTGCGTCAAAAAATTTCTTCCTGAAATTTTTTCGTTGAAAAAATCTAATGCAAAATTCGCGCGCAAATCGTAAAAAACACTGAATCGTCGATGGGCGGTTTTGCAAAAAAATCGACGACATGCTTTATCGCAATCAATATTTAAATTAATATAAATCAAAAGTACATTTTTTATTAGTGAGATAGTCGCTTTATTTCTCTCATCTCACCATTTCACAATCTTAATATAAAAAAAGGAATAGAGAGCATAAACGAAATAATTTGAAGTAAATTTGGTAAATGTTTCTAAGGGCCAAACACAGTGCGTAGTTAACTCAGAATCGGCAGTTAACTACAGATTTTCTGGACAAAAATCTGTGAATTTGGCCCTAAGTATTTTTAAAAATGTTGCCATTTTTGATATATTTCTTTTAATATTGTTATTTCCGTATAAATGCCATCCATTTTAAAACATTTCTTTCTTGAAAATTACTGAAATATATTTTTATTTATAACTGAAGAAATATAGTGTTTTTGCATACTATATTTTTTTCCAACAGTATATAGTACGCAGACCCAAAAAATAGTACAATACTATATATTATAGTACGGCTGGCAACTCTAATTCTATGTGTAGTTCTAAGAAAATTTGCCGAGGAAACCATGGATCTAAAATCAATTTGATGATTGCCAAATTGCCAAAATAGGTTCTTAGCATTCCTTAGCGGAGTGTCGTAAAGTAGTGCTTTAATTTTGTATAAAAATATGCTTTCAGGGGTTTTTTGTTATGAGGAGTCCATTTCTTTTACTTAAAACTTCCACCTGAGGGCCCAACAGTGAAAATTTGGACATTTTCTTCGAGACATATTCTCGCAATTTGGCAAACTCCAAATTGATTTTAGACCCATGGTTTTTCAGCAAATTTGCTTAGAATTACACGTAGAATCCTCCTAAGCTATACGCGCATAATAAAAAAACTGCCCCGCCCTTTCATGTATGTAATAATATTATGTATGTAGTAATATTTAAGTTTTTTTAAGACTTTTATTAGTCTATAAAAGATACAATACTTCACACATACGTACATATATTACTAATGTACAAGAAAAACAAACACATAAGTATTTCGCTGTGGACATTTGACAAAACAACTTCTCTCGAGTGAGGTCATTTTCTCTTCAAAGCAATAATTAATTGAGTTCTCTTATTATATTTTTATTTTTAATCGTTAATAGCAGTTTAAGATGCTATCTTAATGAAAGTTAAATAAAATTTTTAATTTTTATTTGGAAGCTCCTTAAAATTAACTTTAAATTCCAACCTACAGAAAGCAAAGTTTTTTTGTCAAAAGTCCAAAGATATGTAGGTATGTCAAAAAACAATGGGCTTTCTCCGGAACTATCTTCCACCCGTAATGGTTTTGGAGGGCTTTATTTTCTCCTGAAAAGTATTTATTATTAAAATATATTTCATAAATAGCTTAATAAATTTACCTTAGGGTCATTTTAGGGAAGACTATACCACAGGTTACACTGTGAGGCAAATGGTAGGGGTCAGTGATCGGGAAGGGTTCAAACTACCGGGGAAAGTTATATCGGTAAAAAAGAAGTTATACGTGTCCCGGCGTTATGTGAACGGCGTTATGTGAACAGATTAAAGGAATTGTAATTTAATTGTTTTTTTAATTTGTTTGAGCAAAATCGGACTAGTGGTTCTCGAGTTATGTCAAAAAAAGACCACCAAAGGTGACAATTTCCCCTATATGATAGTTATATATATATCTCGATTCCTAGACGTGACCCAGCGAAACGCCGGGACACGTATAACTTGTTTTTGACCGATATAACATTTCCCGTTGGTTTCATCCCATCCCGATTTTCACTGTCGCATAGTCTTATCAGTGATCGATTTTTATCGATTTAGTTTTCACTATTTTCTCTATTTTTATTGTTATAAACGCAACCCTAGGACGACTATCTCTCATATAGTATTTTCCNTAACATTTCCCGTTGGTTTCATCCCATCCCGATTTTCACTGTCGCATAGTCTTATCAGTGATCGATTTTTATCGATTTAGTTTTCACTATTTTCTCTATTTTTATTGTTATAAACGCAACCCTAGGACGACTATCTCTCATATAGTATTTTCCCATGAACCAAAAATACAAGATCACCTAATCAAAGAAGTAAGAAAAAAGTATATTTCTGAGCGTTTTTGACGTCTGCCTAATAAAGAAAACAAACCAAGAAAACGAAAAAGGTGCGGTGCTTGAGTGCGATTTTATTGGCATTTATTATAAAATATAATAAGTGAAACCGAATAAAACTGATCAAAAGCTGTCCATAAAATATGGTTTTCGTGATAGAAAGTGTTTTACAACCGCATAGCATCAGCACAGCTCGATTTTTCAATGCCAACGTTCTGACCACAAAAGTGGACCCACTTTTCACGCAAATTTACGCCCTTTGGCAAACAAAACATACGCACAAACTTGTTCCAATCACACATTTATAATTAAAATCGCTGCAGAAAACACATTCAATCGGTAAAATATCACTACGAAGAGGGAGAAGACGGTGTAAACAAAACCGAAAAACGTCAAAAACGATACGAAAACTTTTTTCTGAACATCGATTACAAATACAACGATGGCTGATTAGGTGATCTGTAGTCGTTGGTTCATGGTATTTTCCCATCAAGTTATCAAGGCAATGCTCGTGTATTTAAGTTGACAATGCAAATAATAATTATTCAAAGAGAAAGTACACCTCATGTACTTTAAAACAGTGCTGAGTTATTGCAAAAATAGATTTACACATGGTCAGCTTTCAAAGAAATGCTTATTGGAAGTCCCACCGACACAGCCAATTTTTTTTAACCTAACTTTGAAAAACCGAAATCTTCCCATCGTTGAAATAAGGTCATTTTATTAAAAGTATAATAAATATTCATATGAAACAAGTAGAGCTCATTTTACTCACGAACTTTGCTGTAATCCGTCGTAGATTCGATTTTCCTACGAATCGTAAAATTGGTATGCTGAAATCCGCGTTGTCGTATCGTAATTTCGAAATTCTTAAGCCATCTTCGAAATTCGTAATGTTGGTATGCCTGAGTCTGACATTGGCCTGAGTCTGAAAGGCCGGACATTGGTCGAGGCTTTGTAAAAGGAGCTAAAGAGGATGTGGTGGAGTTTTGGTAAAGCGTTCCAAGAATTAAAGCGGCACAATATCTAGTGAAATGGAGGCCCTTAAAAGGAGGGAGCTTACATTTTATCATTTAAGCTAAATGGATCAGATCAATCTCCTAGCAATCTCCTTTGTATATTAATGCAACTGTTAGCTGTTCTTCCTCCTGGGAAAAGGGCATCGGCCACTGAATCCTTTGTATTCTACTTAATTAAGGAAGTATTTTCAAATAATGATTAAACTAATTTTTTTTTAATTTCACTATTCACTTGCGATTATATTTATTTTGATTTGTTTCTGTCAAAGCAGCTGATTAAGCGAATTTATTTTAGTTGGCAACGCCGTTGATAGTTACGATCGGATAACAGCATACCAATTTTCGAATTTTCGAAACGGAGCTACGAATTCGTAACTACGATCTTTCGGATTACAGCATACGGGTGAGAGACTCGTCCCACCCACCACAAGCTAAAGTAGTTTTTTTTTTTTTTTTAATTTTCAAATATGATAATGCCATTAAAGCATAAAATGGGCATTAACATTCCATTAGCTACATACGAGAAAGGCGCTTTGAGCGAAATATTTATAGTTTGTCTAATATTGGGAAATGAATCCATCAACTCAGAGAGGCGGGTGTCATCGTTGTCCCACTCGCCACTTTTGGAAAATGTCAATTTTCTGTGTAAATTATAAAATTAAGTTTTATACTTTATTAGTTTCGTAATAATCTGATATCTGACTTCAAATGTTCAGATTTTGAGACTTATCCAATAAATGGTTAAAGAGAAATGAAGTTTGAGCAAAACCAATTTAAAATGTCCCACCCATCACGTTTGAATGCCCCGTTTCCATAAATTTATTCATTTTGTACACTCCCGTCTAAAGCTATTGATTTCGCAGCAGAATTACACCAATTCACTGATCCTAGAACCTAGCAAATTTGGCACGTATTGAAAAGAAATAGGGATCAATTAGAAAATGGAATGCAAAAATTAGAGCCAATGTCGTATTCACAATTGTCTAATTCACGATATTACACAAAATCAACAGAAAATTAAGGACGGTACAATCATCCACATTGTAAAATGAGCAAAATTGTAAAATGTGGTAGATTTTAGGTTTACGGTGGTAGATGTGGTAGAAACGCAATTTAGCAAAAAAAAAGTGGTAGATCTACCACAAAAGTGGTATAGTCACCACACTGTACGATACGCTTGCAAGGGTTTATCGTCTATCGTATTAAAGTTCATAAGATAAGTGACTTCAGATTCGTAATCAGCGACCCAAAAATCCCCTAGGTAAGAAGTGGTGTAAAGATCCATCAACGAGTATTTGTTTAAATAGTTTCGTCCAGCTAAATTTGCGATCCGAACCACTGTGGGCTGTGGTCTTGTTTCTTAGGTGTTATTTAAAATGTTGCATAAAAATATTTTTTTAGCATATCTAATACATTTTATAAAATTGTTTAATATATTTTGCATAATTCTTGCATATTGTTTGCATATATTTTGCATATTCAATTTGCGTAAAAATCCGAGCTCTAGTTATATATATATATATAGTTATATATAGTCAATGTGTAACCTAATTTTGTTATTTATTACGATTCCAGTCATTTGCAGATACTACACAGGAACCAATGACGTCTCTTCTTGACTTGAATGACGATTGTCTCTTCGAAATATTCAAGTATCTCAACCTCATGGAAACATTTAATGTACTCGATCTTCGCAATTCTCGACTTACGGGGATCGCACGTCAAAGAATCGCCACATTCAAGGAGCTAAATATTCAAATACGAGAACTTCCGAACTTCACATGGACGCAGCTAAAAATTATCGGTAAGAATTTGCGCATCTTCAGTTTAATCGTAGGCTATTCAATACCAACGCAAACGGTGCTAAATATTATAAAGCCACTTTGTCAGGGAGCTGCCTTAACTGCACAACTGCGAGAATTTTCGCTTAATTATGTCTACTTTAATGAAGAATTCTGCCAGTGTATCGGGGATGCTGTGACAAAAGTCCAGAGAGTAAATTTAAGCTACTGCCAACTTACGGATGAGATCCTATCCGAATTCCTCAAGAAGTGTGTTAGCTTAAGAGAGTTATATATTTTGGGAAATTATACGCTAAACGGCGATTTTCTACGCAATTTTCACACGCCTTCCTTACGGACAATCAGGCTGGAATTGCATGCGGCATGGACTTTCCCCCTTGGAGAATTCAAAACCAAATATCCAAACATTCTATTGATAACAACGTGATTTTCTGGGTGATTATAGACAATTTTTACAAACTTGTTTAATATTCGGTGCAACGAAAGAGGAAAATAAAATAAACAAATAAGGATAACTCAAAATATGAATTATAAACCCTTTTATTTGTATTGAAATATATATAAATCGAAAACATTTTCTGTCCTCAATTGAAGTCAGAGCAAACTAAGCAAAGTGGACGCATACATAGTTATTAAAATGCTGTCATGTTGGGTTTATATTTGGGCACTATGCACACGATACATAAAGTGGTCGCAAATGCAAGCGGCAAAATTAGTTCAAAGACCGATTTCGGTCCTGTCATACGCGCCAATTTACATTGCGAGCCATACTTACTTTCCTAGTTGCAAATTGTCTGATTTATTGCAATGTTTGCGTAGCATAATAATAAAAAATCATAGATAAAATATTTTTTAAATGTTAATTGGAAATGTTGTTAGTGTTGCTGGCTGGTTGATCAGTTGGTTTAATGGCTGTATGATGACAAAATGGTTTTCTCTCCGCCTGCGTTACTACGTTCTTACGCATTGGCTTGTTTGCTGTCCTTTTTCTTCTTGTAGAACTCCTTAATGAGGGTTTTTAAGTACTTAGCCTCGCGTTGACGTTCGGCCAATACGCGTTTTAACTCTTCATTACGCTGTGTAAGTTTTTGCTCCTCATTGAGTACGTTCTCCATTTCGACCTTTTTCTTTTGACGATAACGTGTTGCTGCATTCTTATTTTGCTCCTTTTTCCGCATTTTGCGGTCCTCAACGCCACGTCCGTATGGGCGTGTGCGCTTTTTGGGTTCAGAAGACTTGGGGACCATAGATTGAGAGTTATCTTCGTCGCCATTGTACATAGGCGACGAGCTGGCGGATGAGGAAAACGATGAATCCGGCGACCACTCCTCATCGGTCACTATGGAATCTGGACGCGATCCTGAGGAGTAAGACGACCAAGACATGGACTCACAATCATCGTTCAAATTGGGCAATTCTTTGATGCATGATTTCAGAAATTCATCAACGATTTGCGAATTGCGCTTATCGTCATCGGTTTGTGCAGCGTCCGTGGGTGTAAAGGGTGCTGAATTGTAGTAAGGAGTAAAATGAAGGCTATGCAGAGTTAGTGTAGATGGAGCTGGTGTTAATGCTGGAGAGGGAACGTAGTGGATTTGGGATGAAGTCAGTGCTGTTGGTGGTACTTGACTAACTGTCTCCGATGGTGTCAGCTGAAGAACATTGTTGACCTGTTTAAAAAACAGGAAGAGATATGGAGTTAGAGTTGCGTGTTAACAATTTAAAATATTTTAAACTACTTACATTTATTGCACCTTCTGTTGCTATGCCATTCTGCAAAAGAGTCGCTGATGTACTGGATTGCGGAGGTGATTGCGGTGGTGTTAAAGTGGTCAGTACTGCAATCTCGAAATTTTCCGATTTTAAGGCTTCGATATCGAACGAGTCGTGTACTTTAGTCACCGGATTTGGATGCGCGATTGCAGTGTCGACATCCAAAAGCAGCTTATTCTCGGACCACTCTGAAAATATGAAAAAATAGTTGATTAATATAAAAATTATACTGCAATTTTTTTAATAACTAAAAAAGTGAGGCATGTTTGAATAATAGACGAATATTTTTTCCTAAAGACGATCCTAAATCTAAACAAAATCTCGAAAAGTGGCCATAAAATCTGTGTTAGCATTCTTCATCTGTATGCCTCTTTGGGAATTTCAAAAAATTTTGGCAATTCCAACTACATACATATATGTAATGTTTCTACCATTACGTTGGGTCCTTGAGAGTGGATTGACCTCGCAGAATATAACAAAGTTTCAATCTAGTTTCAGAAGACATATTAAAGTTGACAAGGACAAACGTAAAAAACAAATCATTATTTTTATCGCATAATGGCGAAAAATGTGTATAGTTAATACGAAATCAAGTAAGTTTAAACATGCAATGAAATCAATATTTGTAAGGCATTTCAAAAAATATCATTCACCTAATAAGGACCGGTTCAGAACCGGTCTGAAGTGAATTTAGAACATGGCAGTTGCCAACAAGTGGAACGCACATGACGTTTGCCTATAACAACAATAACAAATACGTATGTTTGTATTTACACACATACAACACATAATCAGGCAATCAGGCAATGGCGGGGCTTTCTATGGGGTGAAGTGAAACACTTACGGCGACGACGGTCCAAAAGGTTATCATTAAAGTCCGAATTATATTATAAATATATGTACATACATACATTGTATGTACGTATTGATTGTATAGAACTAAAGATGGAGGAGGAAAACTCTGCACAAAGTAGAGGAGACAAGCTGTGAAACCGAAATCAATGAGAGGGGAGGGGAGTGTAATAATGGAGGACAAAGTCGCGATTAGAATGCGATTGTTTTGAAATTTCATGAATACATACGTTTGCGCTTTTGTTGGTGATGTTGGTAGCAGTGTTGCCGTTTTGATCCATACACTTAAAAAGTTATACGTGTTTGTGCAAATTTTCGGGAGAAACATTTTTTTCGCTCTTTTCGCGAGATACTTAAATTTTTCGCGTAGTACATTTGACATATGTTAATGAGAAAATATTTATGTATGTATGCGGTGCCAGCTTTTAAATTGTGATCGAAAATATTGAAACGTTTTGGGGTCAAATAAGCTTAAAGAGAAATGCTTTAAATGAACAATTTATAAAGAGCTGACTCATTCATTTTTAATTTGCTTTACCTGCCTCATAAGTAGCTCTGCAGATGTGGAGCGTACCTTTTCAGATTTAAAATTGATTCAATATGAAAAGAGAAATAGAATTTCATTACTGTTGAGAATATGATGGGGCGTATTCATAGTAAAAATGAAGTCGATACTGAAGGCAGTCTCAGCTTTTTGACATAATTTTCAACGAGTTTAACATGGAATGTATCACATAATTTGATAATTAACGTAAATGATCGACAGCTATCTATCTATAAAATCTATACAAAAAATTTTTGTTCGTCGCTATACAAGATTAAAAACAATAATCTATTCTTTGATAGATTCACATTGTGTAAAATATTTTTTCTTCATGTACATTCATATGTACGTGTATGAATGCGAATTAAATGATCTTTCGGTTATTGACAAAAATTAAAAAGCAAAGGTATGAAACCAAATAGCATTTTTTTAAGTTTTTTCTAACTTGATACTTAAATAAAAAATTTGTGATACATTTGATCCATTTTTTGTTTCTTCTATGATACATTTTTTCATGCCGTCGCGGCAACACTGGTTGGTAGTAGTTACTCTTGCAGCTGTGGCTTGTTAAGAGGCAAAGGTGAGAACAGCAATACAAATGGCATTTGTATGTACATATGTGTATATTTAGATACGTCCATATGTGAGTAGTCCACTTCCAAAGTGCGCTATGTAAAATTTTTGCGATTTTTAGTTTTTGGTGGATTACGTACCAGTATTTAAAGTAGTTTCATGTCCACTAACAACACAGTGCAAACTCTTTTTATATTCTGAAAAAATAGCATCAAATCTTAACTCTTCTTCCAAAAGTCGCTATCATACTTATTTATAATCTTTCAAAAGTATACATCTTCTGATGAACTTAGAAAACTGCTTTAAGTCATATAGACTGTTAATATTATCTTATGTCATGTTATGTTATGTTACAATTTTATAAGGCTCTTATTTATCCAAATTTTCAGGTAATAATAAAAAAGATTCAATTTAAATGTTACTTGTTGTCGTAGTCGTTTTTTCAAATTTATGGCGTTCTATTATAAAATCACATAACGCTGTTTGCAAGTGGACTACTCATGTATGTATAAACGCATGTACTTACTTATGTACATATGTACATAAAGTATGTACATATATACATATGCACGCTGATGCCTATTAAAGCATACCAATTTTAAATAAATAAAAGCATATTTAAGATAAAATATTCGACTTGATTCTTGATTATAGTTCAAGTAGGTACATGTGCGATTGTATGTACATGGATTGGCCTCGATCTCATTTTATGCAAAATGTTTGCATAGCATATGGGCAAATCTCCGGAACCGTGCGATTCAACTCTAAAAAAAAACGTAAATTTTTAAATTGAACGCACAAAAATAAATTATACATCAAATTGTTTGAAATCTATTGAGGAAACATGAAATTATTGTGTGATTCATTTTTCTCAAATGCTTAAAGAGTTCTAAGTAAAAAACGATTATTTTTGAAAATTCAATATTAGCGATACTTCTAGAGGGCGTGGTTTTTGTCCGATTTAAAAAATGTTCAAGAAGGTATTTAAGAAGGTCAAGCGCAATGTGTACAATGTGTCGAGATACAAATATTTGACATAAGTTTCCAAAAAATTTTACGAAAAAGAATTTTTTCTTAAGATCCATTGAAAATATCATATTTGAGTAAATATTTAAAAATTCGTTAACCGCACTGCCCAAAGATCTGAAAATCCTTAACATACACACATATAAATTCATGGCCGTATTTTAGACAAAAATTATTTTACGTATTTATCATTTTCAACGAACTTTATGAAGAATGTTATCTAACGATCACGCTTAAGCCCAACCTTTTATGTGTTAATCTGTCAGTGTGCTGTCAAAAAAAATGAGAAATTTTAAGCCATTCACGCAAAGGCCTATTCAGACAATATGTGTTATATTTTCAATATTTTGAAAAGCCCACAACAGTAAAAGGTCTTATTTTATTCTTTAATGTGTAATTAATATGTATATAGACAAATGAGAGCAATTCAGCAATCGCTGAAAGGGCAAAATGAAAAAGAACTTAAGATATTACCTTTTTGATAATTACGAGTGACAGATTTCAAATTGTTTTATTTCTAATGAGGAGCACATATTTTTCTCAACGCCTAATGCATTTTCCAATACTACATTTACTATTTGCCATGATTTTTGAAAGTCTCCGTTTTGCACTAAAAAGTTATACTCAAAAAACTTTCAACAGGTACCCAAAATGACAAGTCAAAATTGTATTTTTTTTACTTTGATTGTTTATAAAACTTAAAATAACATTATTAAAATAAAAAAAAATTAAATAAGTCACAATAACTCGTCACATTTGTTATCAAAATGGCCGAAGTTTTTTATAAAAAGTAAAATTACATTAATAAAATTAATTTAAAGGTGAGTGACACAAAAGCACACGGTTCCGGAGATTTGCCCATATGTGTATTAGATCTGTGTTCAAAAATATGTGTACAGAGACGGTAATTATTCATTATAATTATATTATTACTTAGCTATACATATGCGTGTTTGTATATATACATAAATTAGATATGGCTCATTCCACGGCAATCGTTACCAAAAGAAATGAAAATAAACTTGAGAATTTGACTGTATTACTTCTAATA